GGGTCCTGCCCGTGGGTGGGGGCAGCCTCCGATATCAGTACAGGCTGGGGGATGAAGGGATCAAGAGCAGCCCTGCCGAGGGGGACTTGGGGGTCCTGGTGGAGGAAAAGCTGGACGTGAGCTGGCAATGTGCGCTCACAGCCCAGAAGGCCAACTGTAGCCTGGGCCGTTCCAAAAGAAGCATGGCCAGCAGGTTGAGGCAGGTGACTCTGCCCCTTTGCTCCGCTCTGGTGAGACCCCACCTGGAGTCCTGCGCCCAGCTCTGGAGCCCTCAGCACAGGAGAGACATGGACCTGTTGGAGCAGGTCCAGAGGAGGGCCCCAAAAATGATCAGAGGGATGGAACCCCTCTCCTATGGGGACAGGCTGAGAGAGTTGGGGTTGTTCAGCCTGGAGCAGAGAGTGCTCCAGGGAGACCTTCTTGCAGCCATCCAGTACTTAAAGGGGGCTTGTAAGAGAGATGGAGACAGACTTTTTAGCAGGGCCTGTTGCAATAGGACAAGGGGTAATGGTTTTAAACTTAAAGAGGGTAGGTTTAGACTGGATATAAGGAAGCAATTTTTTACTATGAGGGTGGTGATACACTGGACCAGGTTTCCCAGAGAAGTTGTGGATGCCCCATCTTTCAAAGTGTTCAAGATCAGGTTGGACAGGGCTCTGAGCAACCTGATCTAGTTGAAGATGTCCCTGCTCGTTGCAGGGAGGTTGGACTAGATGACCTTTAAAGGTCCCTTCCAACCCAACCATTCTATGATTCTGTGATTCTATAAAAGCATTATTTTCATTAGCCCTTCTTGCATTGGTATCTCTAATACAAACTAAATTTCCTGTAACTGAGATGTCATTTGGGTAGAAGGATCTTCAGAGTTTAACCCAGCTTAAAATAATGACTTTCTGAACTCGTCACATGTACAGCTGGAAGGCATTAATAACTGATACTCTTCTTGTGAAAGATTTCTGGTTTTTAAAAGATAATAGTAGACTAGACAACAGTTTCCCAAAGGAGTGGTATAGCTACTGGTGATTTATCATGTTATACTATCATGGATCCTTTGTTACTTTTTTTCCTCCAAGTATAACGGTCAAAATGTGGTAAAAGATTCCATGTTCACTCATGTTGGTGTACAGTGATGATTCCCCAGTTCCATTAAATCCACTATCCTTGTTAGTTTTGGGGTATAATTACCTAGTTTGCATTTATTGTTTCATCACATGATGCTGATGCTTTTCTAGTATTTAGGGGCTAGATAAGCCCCTAAAATATAAAAAAAAAAAAAGATTTAAAGGCATCTTTTGTCCAAAGCTGATGTTGGAAAGCTTCCAATCCTCAGTGCTTCCTTATTCTTAGGAAAACAGATTACCTGAAGACTACTCTAAAAAGAGGGAATTGGTAACCACTGGTCTTTTACGAAGTCCTATTTAGAATTTCTGAGGAGTATTACATTCAGCAGCCAGTGTGTGTCATCTATAGCATTATCAAATCCTGTAGCAGAGGAAGCCTTCTTGCTGGAAAACAGACTTCACCATAAATGAAACCATTATGAAGTTCAGGCAGAAATAATTGCTAAGCTATGGTAATGCTTCCCTCTGCTCAAGAAACTCCCAACTGTTAAACATTATGTATTTTATTATTTTTTCTATTGAGGGAAAATGCATGTTTTACAGTGTTAAACACACTGTGGTTCTAATATAGACGGGGTACTCACTGGCTTTGCAGATACTAGAACGTAGTAGTGAGTGCAGAAGCAGCTAACATTAAGAAAAACATCATGTAAGTAAAAGCATCCCTCTCGTTTTCCTGTCCTCCCAATAGTGAACGTACATACTTAAATACTGCAGCTTTCCTCCTTTGCATTGCAGTCAAGTAGTCTAGAAAGGCAGTATTGTCTCTTACCAAATAACTGAAAGTTGAAAGTGTTGGGTTTGTTTCCAACTTTGAGAGGAACTCCTTTGTGACCACGAATCTCCCAAGTAGCTGAGGATCAGCCTTTCCCATCCTTGTAAAGCCTTTTTGTGAAAAGAGCCGGGTACGGTTAGCATTATACAAGATTACATGTACATAGATGCATGCCAGGAGAAATCAAACAATTGGCCAAATAATTTATTTGGGTCTCTGATAATGAGTCTGTTCTTTTATTATTATTTCTTGAGGATTGAAACAATCAGAGCAGCAAAGACCAAACTGCGTGTGAAGTTCAGCTATGTAATGATTGCCTTGACAATATTGGGATGCATAGTCATGGTGATTAAAGGGAAGCAGGTAAGCACAGATTTTTGGCTGGTGAATGGAAATCAATCGTCACATAAACTCCTCAGTTCCTCCTATGGATTGTTAGTACTGTTTTGTTTTGGGTTTTTTCCTTATCATTTTATCACTGAGCGAAAATTAAAAATAAGTCCTCCTAGTTCCCCAGAAATTACTCTCATTGATTAACTCCCAAGTCAGAAGTGTGGTGTCATGGTTAGACTTCATATGCTTCCTTTAAAAGGAAAAAAAAAAATAGTCTGTCTATCTCAGTGCAGTACTTTTAGCTTGCGCTGTTTTAACTCCTTAATTTTGGTGACGGGCTGAGGGAGTTTGAAAGGAAAGAGCACCTTCTGCTCCTTGGGCCATGGGGTCCATACAAATCACTGTATGGACCTATTACAAATGCCTCTCTACACACTGCAACGCTCACAGAATCAATATAATGGAAATAGCAAATTAGTATGTTTCTCCACAAAACAGACTTCAGAATTCTCAGAAGTCTCTTTAAACAACAAGGACATGGTCAATAATAGTTCTGTACTCTTTAATTGCATTAGAAAATAGTTTTCCTTTAGTGTGGATGGAACAACCTTTCCCAAATTATTATTGTTTGTGGAATTGAAAACCTATTTTATAAAAAAGCTCTCAAGTCCTCTATGTGCTGAGTATCCTTCACTTGCATAGAATTTGGCAAGATACCGAAGAAGTTCAGCATATGGCAGAACTTGGTCTATGATTTAATTTGCATCGTATGAAGAGGGTAAGTGTAAAGTTTAAGATTCCAAGTGCAGCAAAGGTTAGTCATGCCTTAATTTTAGGTGGTTTTTAACCTAGTTGGTGAACTATAAACTTTGTGGTATTTCTGTAAAGAAGCAAGGAGTGCTTTTTGTGTCCTGAAGCCAAGCTAAAGCCTCTCAGCCGCATTAGTCTTAAAGTCAAGGAATGTGAATATCATCTGTGCAGCTTATTGTCATGTTGCTTTTGATAAAAAGCACAGTGGTAACAGAAACACAGTCCACTATATTCTTTTAAGGATGACTGGAAGCAGAAAACATCGAGCTTAAAAGCATCTACACAGGTAGAACGTTATTTGTATGCAGCCTTTCTCTGAAGCAGTTCTGATGACAATGTTCATATCTTGTTTCTATAGACTACTAAGTGTTCTAGAGAAACCTTAAAATTAGTAATAGTCTCAACTCCAACACTGTGAATTACTGAAGTGTCAGGTGACGTTTCTACTTGTCAGCATTCCCCTATCAAAATGAAAAGAATGCAGCACTCACACTGAAACAAAACACTGGAAAGGTTTTTCCCTGGCTTTAGCAGAAGAGATCAAACACTGACAATTCCCAGAACATTTTCTTCTTACATTGGAGTAGTATGAATGCAAACACTGGAAAGAGGACAGCTGCTTTGGGACCCTTGTTTTCACAGCAGCTGGAATCTATTATGTTTAACTTCTGATTTGTTTCAAGTACCTATGCCTTCTGAAGATGAGAGGTTAGTATTAAATACCGACCAGAAGCACAGAATGTATCTTTTAGTGCCTTAACAAAAGGGTTTAATTTATTCCCAGAGAACTAATGAGTTTACGCTAAAATAAGTCTCTGGATATTTTATTTTAACCATCTCCCTTTCTGCCATTAAAAGCTGACAGAGCTGTGCCTTGGTAAGGATAGGCCAGATACTTTGTAAACTATTGATTCAAGTTTCATCTTGGTGGTCCTTTAGGTGATACTTTCTGCTCTTGCTTTGTCATTATGTTGTAGGCTGTAAAAAGGCATGAATCTCTTACAAGCATGAACTTGGAGAAGAAAGCTCAATGGAAGGAGGAAGCTACTCAGAGTACATCTGCTAAACCTTAGAGGAGGAAATGAAGAGACCAAGGACTGGGCAAGAAAACCCGAGTCCTTTTCAGCATTGGAAGGAGGATATAGTCACACCTTTCCTGCATGTTAGTTCTGTACTGTCATGTTCAAGAAAGAATGAATACATTATCCTGCAACCATTAAAACCAGAAATACCTATTTTCTTTTCCTAACAACCTCCCCTTTCCTCCAAACTCTCTTCTTCCTTAGTGGCACAGAGCAAGTGAGTAAACTGGACAGACAGAATAGTTGTTTCCCACATGTGCTACGCACAAGACTAGGATCTTTTAAAAGACTGCAGGAGCTGTACCTGCATTCATGGTACCAATCTCCTTTACAAAGGTTTATACTCTTACTTATAATAACTTAGGTTGGAAAAGACAACTTTAAGATCATTGAGTCCAACCATTAACCTAACACTGCCAAGTCTACCACTAAACCATGTCCCTAAGCACCACATCTACATATCTTCTAAATACCTCCAAGGATGGTGACTCATCCACTTCTGTAGGCAGCCTGTTCCAATGCTTGATAACCTTTGGTGAAGATATTTTTCCCAATATCCAATCTAAACATTCGCTGGTGCAACTTAAGGCCATTCCCTTTTGTCTTGTCGCTTGCTACTTAGGAAAAAGAGATTGACACCCACCTTGCTACAACCTCCTTCCAGGTAGTTGTAGAGCGACAAGGTCTCCCCTCAGCCTCCTTTTCTCCAGACTAAACAACCCCAGTTCCCTCAGCTGCTTCTCATAAGACTTGTTCTCTAGATCCTTCACCAGCTTCATTGCCCTTCTTCGGACGTGCTTCAGCACCTCAATGTCTTTTTTATAGTGAGGGGCCCAAAACTGAACACAGCTCGTCAGTCACAGTATTCATGGTGCGGCCTCACCAGTGCCAAGTACACAGGGGGACCATCACTTCCCTAGTCCTGCTGGCCACACTGTTTCTGATACAAGCCAGGATGCTATTGGCCGCCTTGGCCACCTGGGCACACTGCTGGCTCATATTCAGCCAGGTATCAACCAACACTCCCAGGTCCTTTTCCGCTGGGCAGCTCTCCAGCCACTCTTCCCCAAGCCTGTAGCGTTGCATGGGGTTGTTGTGACCCAAGTGCAGGACCTGGCACTTGGCCTCATACAACTGATCTCAGCCCATTGATCCAGCCTGTACAGATCTCCACAGAGCCCTCCTACCCTCGAGCAGATCAATACTCCTGCCCAGTTTGGTGTCATCTGCAAACTTAGTGAGGGAGCACTTGATCCCCTCATCCAGATCACTGATAGACATTAAACAGAACTGGCCCCAATACTGAGCCCTGGGGAACACCGCTTGTGACTGGCCAACAACTGGATTTAACTCCATTCACCACAACTCTCTGGGCCTGGCCATCCAGCCAGTTATCACTTGAGAAAATAACTGGGACGCAAAGGACAGCCCATTAGGTTTCCACTTGTACATCCATACTTGTACAAACAAAATACCTTTGCTGGGCAGTCATCCACTATCATTGACTATTTCAGCTCCCTTCAGGAAGAATAGTGCTATATGTATTCTATATTGTTACAGGCTGCCTAAAATATTCTGTACATTCCTCTTTGTGTAAGAGAGAATTATTAGGAGAGTCACTGAGTTAGGAATAATTGTATCGCCTGCATTAATATAATAAAAATTATCGTAAGTTATTAGAAAGTCTGCTTACTTGTTCAAGGTCCAATGTATTCTGGCTGCATTTAAGTGAAGGATTACTCTTTGTAAAGAACTGCCTGCCTTTGATAAAAAGAGAAGGGGGAGGATACTGAAATGGCATTCCAGAGAATTAGTGTGTTGCGCTAATGGTCTAATGGTGTAGTGCACTAAAAACCAAATGGTTTTTCCACCAGAGCTGGTAGTGAGATGAGAGAATGTCCAAGCTAAGGGAACAGATGAACATTTTGAGGAGTACTGAGCAACAGCTTCAACTTATGCTATCAGATTTACAGATAACAGGCGCATGATGAGAAAGTCAGTCAGGCATTTCTGCTCTCTGCTGCTGAGCTCGTTTTTCCAAACTTCATTTGGATTTATTTGCATTTTTACCCCTTTAAATCATCATCTATGCTTTCGTGATACTAGCCCACTTACTTGAAGATCATCTGCCTCAAGTTTTAGAAGCAGCACACCCAGTAATACCTGCAAAGAGCAACTCCCAGCAGTCCTGTTTCTGGCATTCATCCCAGAAGAGTCGCATTCTGTTCATGCTGAAGAACCTGCAGCAACTGGAGACCAGTATTTTTCCTCCTCCTTTCAGTTCATTCAGAAGGAAATGTAGATTGGGACTGTCAGGACTGTTTGAAACCGCGTTACTTCCCTGGACTGCCTGCTAACTGGCAGAGGACACCACAAACAGAAGAGACATATGTGTTTGACAGAATTAGTTTGTGAACTTCCTAATAGGAGGTGGCAGATGATTTTTTTATAAAACTTTTTCCTCTTTTTTTTTTTTTTGTACTACTAAAAATGAGTGCTATTGCTGAAAACAATTAAAAGCCCTAAAAATGGAAGGTAAATCTTGTCTTTATACCTGGATAAAGAGAAGCAGTAAGATCTAGTGCAGTCCTCTGTGGTACTTTGTCCTTTACTCTAGAGCTAGAAAATAATTGCTGCAGACACCTTTCCATGAATTGCATTTCCGAGTACCACTCATATTGACAAGATGTAACCAATCAAACAAGCTGTGCAGTCATTTCCACCATAAAAGTTATATCCATCAGGTGATGCCATGACCTGTCATCAGATTCTCTGTAAGGCAATTATTGCCATCAGTCAAGCAGAGCAGGCTTCCACAGATTTGTCCACTCATTTAGCACTGAATGCAAGTCATGCTTAGTTCCACTGCAGGTATGTGAACAAACCTTCTACAACACCTCTGGTTCTTTGCCACACAGGTGGGTACAGAAAAGAATCCTCCCAAATTGTGTGCCTGTGCTCATGTATGGATTAGATGAGACCAAAAAGGAGAACATGCACTTTTGACAGTATTTCAGGTTACCATGAAGAGAAGTTTGTGATTTGATTTATACTTTGTGATGGCGACCTTAAAACCACGCATCTCTCAGAAGTATCCCTCTTTCAATAAGCACCTCCAAGGGCACTCTGTGAAAAGAACTGGCAGGTACCTCATCTAGTTTAGGAAATAAAACTATTTGAATTCATCCAGCTGGTAAAGTATTTCCAATAAAAATATGTAAAATACCAATTAGAAAGCAACAACCCAAAGCAGCAGCTGTCACCAGTTTTTCATTTTACTTAAATTTCTATAAGCTTTATGGTGTTTCCTCAAAAATTGAACTCTGGTCCGGTGGTTTGACAGAAGGTCCATGAAGTCATATATCCTTTCCTTCTATCACTCTGGTATCTCCACTTTTATGGTATAGCCATTTCAGGATCTACCATAAAACCTGTGCATCACTGTACACATTCGTGTTTTCTTTCAGCTTCCATGTCAGTTCCAGTCTCAAATAAAAGCCATTGGACTTTGTGCCATCTCCAGCTCACTCCCAAGAGTTTTGGGAGAAAACTTGCAAGAAGCTGGGTCCTAGAAAAATGATTAAGTATCTTTCTCAGAGGGGCACCTCTTTCCTCATGTGATGGCTTCCAAGACAGCATTTCTAAACACAGACAATATTTATAAAAACAGCACATGTTTCTGGCCTAAGCAGCCAGTCTAGACAACTGGAGAACTTCTTAGTAACACCTCAGATCACATTATTAGCTCATAGCTTTAGCATACAACCTTGTAACAGTGCCTGATGGAGAAGAACATACTAAGCCCTTACACAGTATTTCATTTTCTTTCTCCCCTTTGGCTTGGTCTGGCAACACCATTCACATTTATTCCAAAAAGTCAAATTATCAATTCTATACCATATGCTATATTGTTGTACCTGTTCCAGAGGCAACAAATGCTTCCCAGTGCAATGATCAATCTGACAACTTGAACAACTTAAAAGAGCATGCATGAGCCCTACAGACATGGCCATAGCAGTACACAAAAAAGGTTCTATTTTCCTACAAAGATTCGGGCATCTGAAGAAAGATCTTCATGTCTACTAGCTAAAATTGGCATGGGGAATTACTAATGATGTGTTGTGCCGATCCCAGAAGCAGAGAAACCATACTGGAAGATGTGGGAATTTTTTAAAGCTGGCACAGAAGTGAAACAGCTGTTCTGTAAATCCTCAGGGAAGCACAGACGTGCATCACCAGTAGCATTGTCACATTTAGGACTGTGTGGTGGGACTTGGTTCTTAACAGTCTCAGTGCTGATAGCTATAAAAATGCAGGTTCAAGAACACGTAGGTTTTCTGGGGTCAGTGCCTTCCTCTCTTCCCTTAAGACTAAGTGAAGGGACTTCGACCACCAGTAGCTGGTTAGCATCAAGGAACCAATGCAGGAATTTAAGAACTGGCTGAAGTCTCTAGGCAGTTTGCCTCAAAGGATTGTTTGCGTGTGCGGTGTCTTCCCAGGAGCCCCAAGCACTGGTCCTGGCTTAATTATTGAGCTTTCAGTAACCTTCTGCCCCATCGTCTGTTGTACCCTCATGAATCCAAGAGAGTGACCCTGCCTGCCATGTCCCACTGGGAACTTCACCAACAGAAAGAATGATGGCTCCTGTTTGCTGCCTCAACAAATAACCCAACACTTAAAAGGCATTACAGGATGGCTAGATAACAATTCCAGGTAGTCCCACATCTTCCTTTCTCTAATGCACAGTTCAACTGCTGCTGCAGGAACAACTCAGAGATTCTGTTCTCATGAGTCTTTTCTCCTTACCAGCTTGTGGAGCTTTTGGAAGGTGTTTGGATTGGATCTCCACAAGCAGAGAGAAAAAAATGCATTCATTTCCATTTTCAGGATAAGGGCAAAAGAAAATAAATAAGATCACTTTTCTGGCACTACAAGCTGCGTGGCAGAACTAAGAGACGAACCCAAGAACCCCAACAGCTCCCTCACCTAGC